AAGTGTTCTTGCCTTTCCCAGTTCCCACAGCCACCTTAGGTCACCAAAGTCAGTGAGCACACTTTGGAAAAGATTCCAAGCCCATCTTTGGGGTTGTCTTGACTGAGGTCTGTAGTGGGTAGCTGTTCCAGCTTTGTCCCGAAAGTACTACCCCCATTGAGGCTTCCAGTAACTGTCATACCTATGAGGCAGGGCTGAGACAGGAGCACCTAAGATCTGAGATCCAGATGTGCTGGCTCTGTGGGTTCCTAGATCCTGGAAGCTGGAAGCAGACTGAGCAGAGTTCTCCAGAGAACACTACTGGACTGTACTTCACCTTTCCCCGACCCTGTAACCTATCCCTTTACTTGTAAGTTACCCCACAAAATAAACCTCCCTTTTAACTACATTGAGTTGCCTTAATACTTCCACCAATATCTGGCGCCCAACATGGGCCAGTAAAATTATATCCTTCTGAGGTCTTTGATGTAGTTGAAGACTAGATAGTTACACTTTCCTTAGTTATGATAAAAGATAATTTAGATATAAAACCTTAGACTCACAAATATAAGATAGATAGGATATCTTCTTTAATTTTGCCCAATACAAATAAACTAGATATTATAAATAGACTAGATATTGTAACTATAATTCTTGCTTGATAATTGTTTTGTTATATGTAATTTTACTATGTTAAAGTTAAAACTTCCTTTTTTAAAAAAAAGGGGGGAAGTGATGGGGATGTCTTTCTGTTTGCTGTGAATGTGTTGCTCTGATTGATTGATAAATAAAAATGCTGATTGGCCAGTAGCCAGGCAAGAAGTGTAGTATAGGCAAGATAAGCAGAGAGGAGAATTCTGGGAAGTGGAAGGCTAAGTGAGGAGATGCTGCCAGCCACTGCCGCCATGAGAAGCAAGATGTAAAGTACCGGTAAGCCACAAGCCACGTGGCAGTTTATAGATTAATAGAAATTGGTTAATTTAAGATATAAGAACTAGATAGCAAGAAGCCTGTCACGGCCATATAGTTTATAAGTAATATAAGTCTCTGTGTGTTTAGGTCTGAGTGGCTGTGAGCCCGAGTGGGACTGGAGAAAACTCCAGTTACAGAGGTCCAATCAAAGAGAGGGGTGCAAGTTTTGCCAAACCCTGTTCAGATTGTAGACCTACATGCCTTTAAGTCAGAAGTCTTAAGCCATTAAGTCAGAAGTAATTTGTTATGTAGACGTAATAACTATAATCGACTTTAGTTTTGAAATACAGTAGTCGAAACATAATACCAAGGAATGAAACTACATGGTGTCACAGGCACCCCCACTGCCAGGTGACTGAGTTAGAATTTCTAGAACTTTCTGGTTCATAAGGAGAAATCAACATTAGTTTCAGTGCTCCCTTCCAAGATCATTGGTGAAGTATCCCCCAGATTCCAAGAGCCACTGGCAGCAGTGAGCGCTTGTGTGTGTGTGTGTGTGTGCGTGTGTGTGTGTGTGTGTGTATGTGTGTATGTGTGCATGTGTGTGTATATGCATATATATATATATATATATATATATATATATATAAATACACATTTTGTATAATATTTTGTATGTGTGCAGCTATGCATGAGTATGGAGGCCAGAGGCTACCAACAGATGTCCTCTTCATTTGATCTCTGCCTTAATTTTTTTCAGGCAGGGGCTCTCGTTGGACTTGGAGTTCACCAAATCACCTAGAGTAGCTGGCTAGACTGGATCTTTATGTGGGCACTAGGGACTGGGACTCATGTCTTGAAGCTTTTCTGAATGAGCTACTTCCTCAGTCTCCAATGTTATTATTTTAATTTTACAGATGAGGACTATGTGGCTACTAGCCAGCAAGTGATAGAAGTGGGATTGAGGCACGTGATCCAGCTCCTTGACTGACCCTCTTCTCTGCTGTCTGTCTTCTCACTGTAAACATAACCCTGAGCTACTGCTGGGGATCTTAAAAAGCCACTTCACATTGTAAAAATATTGAATGCTACTTTTCACTTATCTCTTAAGCTATATGTTTTTTCAACCGACTACCTTCTGGGACTGCATTATCTTATTGGTTTTATTATTTATCTTATTTATTCATCTTATTATTTATTTATTTATCTTAGTAGTTTTAAAACATGCATCAATGGCATGTACTAGCTGTGTAACTTGCTTTCAGTATTTCTGGGAATTTGTAGTCCCACTATGGAAAATTTTGTTAAATGCTGGTAGCTGAAATTACCATGATATTTTTCAGCAGGGGAGGCAGCAAGCAGAGCAGAATAATTTTGGTTTCTGTAAATCTACCATTGTTATCTTGTCATTTACACGAGGAACCCACAGAGGTGGGTTGGAGTATAGTAAAGAAGAGGGTCTGATACATATGAGACTGAACACAGGAAACAGTATGCTAGCTCTACTCCACAATATTGGTCCTAAAACTTCCCCTACATGGGCTGATTAACACTGGCCTATTCATGCTGCAATTAAATTAAAAGAATCATTATTTTGTCACCTAATATGTCAGAGGTAGACACTTTCATGGTTGGCAGAAACCTTTGCATTTGAAAACTTCCAGTAATTACTGAATATTCCTGACAACTTCCATCTTCCACAATGTTTTTCAAAACCTTACAGTTGGCTTTCCAAGTCCCAAAGCAGAAAAGGTACATGGTATGACCATTTGCTCTCCTCTTTTGCAAAGGGAAGCACACTCTCTTGTTGGTTGCAGGCAGTCTAGCTTAAAGCACAGAGCAGAGCACTGCTGGCTCCCATGGCTCCATGCTTTATGCTCAGAATGTGTTGTTACCTGGCTCTGCCTCACCGCCACCTTGATGGCTCCAAAATAGAAATAATATGAACAGTAATAATAACAATATAGCCTAAAATTCCACCAGGTTAGATTCACCCCAGGTCCCAAGCTTACTTGAAATGGGGGGAAAACCTACCAGTGTCAATGTTTCCCTACTCCTCTCTAACGTGTAGTGAACTTCTCCTATTTCACTCCTGTTCTTCTCCATTCTGCCCACATCCTGCCCTTGACACAGCCAACACTTGACAACCAGACTCTCAGTGCCCTCTTCCTCCATTGTTTTCTGCTCTGATATTTCTTTCATCCTGGCTCACTCATTCTTTGGCTCTCAGTGTCACCCTATCATATGAAAGCCTTCCTCTTGCTCCCTAGCTCTGTCTTCTATATTCCCATCCAACTTTGTTCATTGCTCTGTAAAAACAATCTTTGTGTCTTGTGATCATTCAATATTTCACTCCCTCTCTTTGTTTCTCTTTCTCTGTCTCTCTGTCTGTGTCTGTCTGTCTGTCTGTCTGTCTGTCTGTCTGTCTGTCTGTCTCTCTCTCTCTCTCTCTCTCTCTCTCTCTCTCTCTCTCTCTTTCTCTCCAAGACTGTAAATTCCTTGGACAGAGAGCCTTGCAATGAATGATTCTCTTTGCAATCTCATTGCTTAGCACAGAGCAATGCCAATTGAAAAATATGGTAGTGCCTGTGTGGTTGGATAAAAATGCTTTTAGAAGCCATGGGTTATTTAAAACCCCAATACTAGAGGTGGACCACTTTCCTATGGGTTGTCTGTCAGGGAGATTCCTAAGGGTCCCCCACACAAGGCAGACTATGCCACTGCTATTGGTTATTTACCAAGCTAAAGAGTAAGACCCTATTCCTGAAGTTGCCACATACTTTGGTCACAGGAAATAGAGAACTCAAGCTGAAACTTGGCAGGAAGATGCTTTCCTGTTGGCTGGCTACTATATGGCTAGCAGGTGCATCATATATATATGTTGCTGGGGGAGAATCATTATCAACAGTCTTACTCAACTATGGACATTTGGTGCAATATTTGGTGCAGTATTGACCAGCCATGCAAGATGATCCCACTGGTACCACAGTGGCAAGTCTGTTGTGGAGTAACCAAATGATTTCTCATTGGATTTGATGCCTGCTTTACAAGAGAGAATCCACATCTGGTACTGTAAAGCTGGTCAAAAGATCATGTTTAGGGAGGTTATAGATCCTAGCAGCAGCTGCTGCTGCTGTTATTATGTTTTTTTTTTAAATGAACATAATGTGCCTATCAAATTGTCTTCTAAATAACTCTGTTTATGCCCGTAGGTTAGTGATACTGTCAGCTTTGGTCAGAGAACCTTCTTGTTTATTGGTCAGTGGTGATTGCAGACTCATAACTGATCAAAGCACAGGGGATAAATGTCTGGTGAATGTCCAGCCATAAATAGGACATCTGCATCATCCTGTCCAAGGCTCGGGGAACACCATGGAAGAAAAGGAAAGAAAGGAAGAGATGAGAGAATTGGGGTTGTGGCATTGGATGCTGATTTCTGAACATGAGATGGCTGTTGTGATTGACTCATGGTGGTTGTGATTGACTGTTCAAGATCTTCTCAAGATCGAGCCTGTCAACACCCTGTCATGGAACAGGGAAAGCTTCATGGGACCCCCCTCCCTTCCTGAGGAATTAACTGCTGGTAAATTACCCATGCTCCTGTAAACAGCCCTAATGAAACACACACACACACACACACACACACACACACACACACACACACACACACACATTCTTACACTCATGCACACCGTGAGAGTAGAAGGACTGGTTGGGAAAGGGATGATGCAGTGGGAGAAGGACAAGAGAGGACCCTTACCCTGTCCTTTGACTAACTTGTTAGGATGGATGCATCATTTTAACCACCTGATATACTCATGATGTAGAGGTCTGCACTTGGTCACTGGTTCACGAGGCCCACATGGATGCTCCCAAGAGACCCATTCCTGAGGAAGAAACAGTTCCCCATACAGTTCCTAGTGAGACTTCTAAGGTGGGGACCTGTTCCTTTCCTGGACTCAATCGTTGCTTTCTCTCCTTAAATTTTATTTTCTATTTCCTTCCATATGAAATGCAAGTGTATTTTGAGCACTCCTGAATAAAGTGAGTAAGTTTTATGCACATTATATATGTGTAAAAGATTTTAAAAAATCTTGTGAATAGTCTCATCACTTTAACCCTTGATTTTATTTAAGCCTAATATCGAAGTTTGGGTTTCTATTGCTGTGATGAAACTCCATGACCAAAAGCAACTTAGAGGAGAAAGGGCTTATTTCATCTTATAACTCTTAGGTCACATTCTATCACAGAGGGAAGTCAGGGAAGGAACTCAAGGCAGGAGCCTGGAGGCAGGAACTGATGCAGAGGTCTTGGAGGAATGCTGCTTCCTGGTTTGTTCTTCATGGCTTTCTCAGCCTGCTTTTTTGTACCACCCAGGCCCATTTGCCCAGGGGAGACACTGCTCACAGTGAGCTGCCCCCTAGCAATCACTTATCAAGAAAATGTCCCATAGGCCAATCTTATGAAAGTATTATCCCAACTGAGAGTTTCTCTCTTTCCAACTGACTCTAGCTTGTGTCAAGTTCACATAAAATTAACCAACATACTTGATTTACTTCATTACACATAAAACAAAGTATTGGTGTTTTTTCTTTTCTTTCTTTTTTTTTTAATTTTTGGGACAGGGTCTCACGGTCTGACTATGTAGCCCTGGCTGTCCTGGAACTCACTATGTAGATCAGGCTGGCCTTGAATTCACAGAGATCTGCCTCTTTCTGCCTCCCGAGTGTTGGGACTAAAGGTGTGGGCCACTCTGCCAGGCATGCTAGTTTGGATTTTAGAGTTACCTAGGAGACACAACTCTGGGTATGTCTCTGAGGGTGTTCCCTGAGAAGATTAACTGAGAAAGAAAGAGCCATGCTAGATGTGGGCTGAGGGCACAGGCTACACAGAAATGTAAAAGCACTAAGAATAGCACCCATCTTTTCCTGCTTTCTGACTGAAGATAGAGTCCTAAGGTTGAGCCCTAACCTATCTAATCAATATTCCCTTGAAAAGAGAAGATAAAGACCTTGCAGAGGCAGCAAGGCCATCTGCAATCCACAGAGAGAGGTATCAGAACAAATTCAACCCCCAGACACCTTGATCTTAGACTTTCAGCTTTCAGGATGATGAGAAAATACATTTTTTGTTGTCCAAGCCTCCTGGTTTGTGGAATTATGTAATGGAAGGTCTAGCAAATGGATACAGTCTTCCACAAATGTCTTTTTAAAGCCAGGACATTTCTGTTGTGGAATATGCCTTTACATTGTGTGAAGATGTGTCACTGTGATTGGTTTAATAAAGAGCTGAGTGGTCAATAGCTAGGCAGGAGGTACAGGCAGGAATTCTGGGAACAGAGAGCTGTGGGAAGAAGAAAGGAGAAGTCACTAAGAGACACAAAGCAAGCAGGATGGGCAATATGGAGATGAAGTAATAAAGCCACAAGGCAGAAAGTAAATTAATAAAATGGTTTAATAAGTTATAAGAACTAGTTAGAAACAAGCCTAAGCTATTTGCTGAGCTTTCATTATGAATAAGTCTCTGTGTCATTATACAGGGGAGTCAACTGTACCAACAAAAAAGTTTGACTACAAATGACACCAAATGTGGGGTAAATATTTTCACATAATACCCAAAAATGCTTTAAAAAAGGTTCCAAACACACAAAAATGGAGCCAAATGTGGATTCCTAGTCCCGCAGTCTCTCATGAGGGCCACAGTACAGAGATGTTTCTCCTGGGCATCGCCTGTGGGATTGAGCTGCCAGTGCAATGAGCTAAGCTGCATAGTGATCTAAAGTTTTGCTCATGCAGACAGAAAAGGTTACAGATATGCAGTAAAGCAAGTTCAAATGGAAAAACCCTCTAAATAAGTTACAGTGTGTTTAACAATGTATGTAGGCTTAAGAAAAAAAAGAAAAAGGATATAGACAGTCATAACAAATAGTTTAAAAAATAATAGAGTCTTTAAAGAGAAGTAAAGTAATTAAAAAATAAAGAATAAGCCATGTAAGGAAGGGAACTATTACAACTCAGGGATTTGGGATCTTTTATAGTGCTTTATTAATTTTGAATTTTTTGAATGCTAATGAACAGACAACAGCTGCTGAGACACATTGGATTATGAAAGGGACTGCAAAATTAAACCAAACTATATACTTTAGGAATGCTTTAACTTTAAAATGGAAGTCAAAAAAAGTCTTACCTTGGGGAAGATGTTACACTTTTGTTTCCACAGGAAATGAAAGGCTGTGGATTCGTTTAAGGTTGATAGAGATCAGATTTGATTGGGAGAGACCCCCCTGAAAATCCTGGCTACAGACAAAAAGAAATAAACCTTGAAAAACTACAAGACAGTTTATGTATATTTTACTTGCTCAAACATAAAAAATTATCTTTGGCTGGGTTGTGTGCAATGCATAGTTCATGCTTGTGTTAATGCAGATATGCATGTTACCTTTGAAAGTTTGTGTGTTCTCAGAGCAAGGGGACCTGACACCAATAAAAAAGTCTGGCCCAGGAGATCCAGTCTCTTAGTGTTCCTCTATTGCAGTTTCCTCACAGTTTTGCATCCAGAACAGCTTCAAGGCTGTTGGCCGATATGGTCCAGCCTCACAGAATATTCTAGCCAAGACTGCAGATAAGCCCATTGCACAGAAACTGGACAGCTAATGGTTCAGCTAGCTCTCCCAGGTCTTGACCATTATCCTAATTTTCTAAGGGTCCCCAAAAAAAGATGTCATCACTCGCAGACAACAGGGAGCAGTCTAGAGATCACAACATCCACATTCCGAAGAGGTAGGGCGGGTGGCTTTTGGTCATCCCGTGGGTTATGGATATTTGTCATCATTTATGGAGATTGGGTGCAAGTTGTTATTGGTCATGGTCAGGAAAAAAGCTGAACAAAGGAGATTAGATTCAGGGATTTCTTTTGGAAGGGGAAAAAAGGAAGATATATTGTAGAAATAATGGGATAAAAGGGTAGATTGACCAGTCTACTTTTGAACAACCACTAGTCTCAAATATTTTACATTGATACAGATTTTTGTATATTTACAAATTCAAGGTTACATTTGTACTGTGTATATGTTTCTACTCTTGTTTAAGGTATTGTACCTATGTAGTTCATTTAAAAATGTAATGTAAAGTTTTAGTCCTTGAATGCTATTTAGGATAATAAAAAATTCAGGTTAATAGTCATCTATGACAAACAAACTTATAGTCATGTTAGGTATGTTCTCAAGGTCATACAGAGATATATTTTAGGTGATTTTCAAATACTTCAAAGACCTACAGAACATGGCATTTAAAATGTTTTAATAGGCCGGGCGGTGGTGGCGCACGCCTTTAATCCCAGCACTCGGGAGGCAGAGGCAGGCGGATCTATGTGAGTTCGAGGCCAACCTGGTCTCCAAAGCGAGTACCAGGAAAGGCGCAAAGCTACACAGAGAAACCCTGTCTCGAAAAACCAAAAAAAAAAAAAAAAAAAAAAATGTTTTAATAACATAAGGCTTTTCATGACAGTGAGACATGTCTGCTCCTGGCAGCACCAATTTCCTTCAAAAACAGGATGATGGGAAGCGAAGAACCCTCATATAGAGTTTGCTTTCTTTGTGGAAAAAGTTAGCCACTGGGCAAGAAACTGCCCTTGCCTCACCTGCTGACAGTATGTTGTCCAAATTGGACAAGCAGGACACAAAAGAAAGCAATTGCTGAACTTTGCCAAAAAAAAGGTAGCACAATTTTTCAAAATTCCTGCCTCACAGAAAAGTCTGTCAGATAGTTGTGTAGTTTGATCTGCTCAAGGGATCCCCTGGCAGTAAGATGAGGATCCATGCATGAGCTGGCTTTTTATAGCCTACTACCTATGATGGGACACCTCACACAGGCTTGAGGCAGGGGGGAGGGGTTTTGACCTGCCTCTACTGAATGGATCAGGTTCTGCTGACTCCCCATGGGAGACTTTACCTTCTTGTAGGAGGGAATGGGGGTTTGGTGGGTGGGGGAAGCCTGGAGGGGTGGGAGGAGGGAGGCTCTGTGATTGGTATATAAAATGAATAAAAAATTTCTTAATAAAAAATAAAGAGAAGTCTGTCAGAGAGTCTAGGCCTGTAGGCTGAAGATGGATGCCTCAACTCTACAGAGGAACCTTAGGTGACTGTCCAGGCAGCCAGATGTCTCTGCCATTTCTGTGGTTTTGTAAGTTACTTTCTCTGCACTTCCCGTTTATTCAAGTACTATTTGATCCTTCTTGGTCTCTGATGGAGATTGAAGACTAGATTGTTATAGATTTACAGTTTTTCTTGTTACCAAATTCAGAAAAGAAACACATAAAAGAGGTGTAAAATGTATAAGATTGAGAGACATAAAAGCTAAATTGTTTATCTAAAAAATGTTTTGAGGTCTAAAAAAGATAGTTTTAAGTTGGTAATACAAGTTATAGTAAAAATGGTTTAGGTATAAAACTTTAAATTCATCAAGATAAGATAGATAATAGAATATTTTCTCTGAATATGCCAAATACACATGGACTAGACATTTTGAATATAATTCTTACCTGATAATTGTTCTTATTGCATATAGTTTTACTGCATTAGAGTTAAAATTTTTCTTTTTTATTTAGACAAAAGGGGGAAAATTGTGGAATATTTCTTTACACTGTGTGAAGATGTGTCACTGTGATTGGTTTAATAAAGAGCTGAACCACCAATAGCTAGGCAGGAGGTGTAGGTGGAACTTCTGGGGACAGAGCGCTCTGGGAAGAAGAAAGGAGGAGTTGCTAGCCAAATGCAGAGGGAAAAGACATGCAGGAGAGGTAAAATCCATATTTACATGGTAACTTGAATAGATGAATAGAAATGGGTTAAGTTAAAAGAGCTAGTGAGATAAGCCTAGGCTATAGGTTGAGCTTTCATAAATAATAATAAGTCTCCATGTCAATTTTTTTGTGAGCTGGTGGCCCAAAGAAAAAAAATCCGTTTACACACTTCCTTAAATACTTCTACAAGTTGGGGACTAAAATGGATTCATCTATATTTTCCCATCACCTAAGAAGAACCTGGCCCAGAGTGGGTGCGTGGGTGACGTTTGTTGAAGAATAAACACAAACCATGTTTTGCTCAGCACAGTAGTAGAGCAGTTGCTGCCAGCCTGACTTTGGTTACCACCTGAAGTTTCCAGTCTGCTGTTTGTTTGGTTCTGCTTATGAAAATAGGTCTTTTTGTTCTTTTACAGCATAAAAGCAGACGTAAAAACATGTACATATAAAAATGCATGCTCATTGTAAAAACAATCTGCTAATGCATTAAAGTGAGAAACAGAGAACAACACCCACCTAGAATGTTCTCCCCAAGGATGTTCAGATTTTTATATTTTAACAATACTGTTATCAGTTTCTTTCTTCCTAATCAAAACTGTCATGTATTATGTCACATCTATAACTGTGATGTACATTATATTGGTGAATTTTCATGCACTGTTTGAATGTTTGCTCTAGAAGCTAGCTCTGGAATTGGGGTTTTGCCTGCCTTATTGCAGACCTAAGTGTGTTTATTTCAAGGTGTCCTCCAAGGCCACTTGCCTGAGGATGGGCCACTCCCTTCTCCCAAACTCGGTGACAGGGAGGAGAATATTAAACAGCTCAAGAGTAAAACCATCATGCCTTCCAGGAACAGCTAGAAGGCAAAGGAAGTCGACCAGATGGTCCTATTGTCTAGCCTACAATATAAATGTGTCTGCAGTGGGAAAGCAAGGCAGGAAACTCAGCCATGGGAAGCTGAGGCATGGAGAGAAAGCTCAACTAGGAACTCCAGCAGACTGCCTCAACTTCCCTAGTCAGTTTCTGCTGGATACTGGGAATGCCTGATTTTGATCATGTTACCTCTATCTGTTTTTTATGTGGAAGTCTCACCTTAAGGGGGTCCTATTCTGCCTGAGACTTTCTCTATCTGGAACTCCAGTTGGCAGCTTTAAAGGGGCTTCCCCGGTGAATTTCTGCTGGATGATTTGAGTACCTGCTATGATGATGTTTTGCTATTTGTCTGTCTATCTATCTATCTATCTATCTATCTATCTATCTATCTATCTATCTCTACCTCCCTACCTACCTGTTTACCTATCTACCTACCTATTTACCTATCTACCTACCCATCTATCTATCTATCTATCTATCTATCTATCTATCTATCTATCTGTCTCTCTATCTCTCTATATCTATCTATCTATCTATCTATCTATCTATCTATCTATCTATCTATCTATCTCTATCATCCCACCTGTCTGTCTGTCTACCATCTATCTCTTGCTGTTTATCCTTTACATTGGCTTGCTCTATGCTTAATAACTTTACTCATCTAAATCCAAAAATACAGCTATCACAGATCATTCTGTGAACCATACAAAATGGCAATATGCTTCCCCAATTTGAATTATTGTAGCTATATTTTCATATTGGAAATTAAAATAAATGTAGATTTGTAATAATGATCTCAAGTAGTTAAATTAAGTTTCATTTTCTTAGCTCAGCCTCTACTAATGAATAGCTTGATTGTTGCTTTTGTCTTCATAACATAAATCATTCTGTGAAGACTTGATCTCTTTGTTGTGGTTGTCTCCTTTTTCTTATTTTTTTCTAGTACTTTTCATTTGCTAAAGATGGGACACATATGGAGCCACACACTCTGTCATGCATGTAGGTAGCTGTGGAACTGAGACTATAGATAAGGGTAATGAAGAATTTTCTCCTTTGGGACACATCTATCTGCCTTTCTTTTGAGCTCTAGACTCAACCACCAAACTGCCTTGGCTGTGTCAAATTCAAAGTACCTAAAGCACAGCTCTTGATGTCTCCACTGGAACATGACTTTCACTAATTGGTCTTCCTCATCTCAGCCAGTAGGTCATCCAGTTTCTGAAGTCAGGAGTGGGGAGTGGTCCCCACTTTCTCCTTCATTTCCACGCTTTCTACACTGACTTTGATTCCATCAGAGTCTGCTGATTTCACTTCTAAGATGCCTCTCCAGCCTGTCCTTTCTTCCTACATCCTCTGTCCCTTTTGAACTCTGCCCAGATAATGGTTTCAGCCTTTTACAATCATCTCACCCCTCCCTCTGTCCTTATTTCACACATTAGCAAGGTGTTCATGCTATAAAAAATGGGCTAACATTGTGATTACAAGTTTCTATGGTTGCTACCTAGCTATATATGTGATAGCTGTGATAGTTAGGGATTTTTTTTAAAATTTATATTAGGTGTAAGCTTGTTTTGCCTGCATACACGTATGTGCACCAGTTGAATGTCTGGTGTTCCCTGAGGCCAGAAGACTATCTTGTGCTCTAACTTCTGAGCCATATCTCCAGCCCCACGATGGTTGGTTTTAATTATCAACTTGATGCAAGCTAAAGTTACCTGGGAAGAGAGTCTCCACGAGGAATTGTCTGGATTGGGTTGACCACTGTGCATCTCCATGACGAATTTTCTTGGATTCAATGAGGTGGGAAGACCCAGCCTGTTTGTGGGCAGTACAATTTATTGGTCTTGGCCCTGGATTGAATGAAGAGAAGGGAGTGAGCTGATCACTGGCATTCATCTATTGCTCTTCCTAATCATGGATGTCATGTGACCAACTCCCTCAAGATCTTTTGCTGTAGCTTCCTGCTATGATGGACTGTAACTTGGAAATGTGAACTAAAATAAACCCTTCTTTCTTAAGTTGCTTTTATCAGAACAACAGGTTTCTTGGCTCTTGCAGCTATAAAAAGTGAAAACTGAACACATCTTAAATTTTTTTTTACTACTTCTGAACAACAATCTAGATCTTTCACAAAGTTATGTTTTTATCAATTGCCTATTAATAATACAAGTAACGACTCCCCTAATTAAAGGACTATGTCACATCCTACTTTAAAAAGCCTTAACGAGGGGCTGGAGCAACAACTCAGGGGTTAAGAGTGCTTTTGTTCTTTCAGACCAGAGTTCAGTTCCTATCACTCACATTGGACAGCTCACAACTGCCTCCAGTGGATCCAATGCCTTTGTGAGCAATCGCACACATGGTCACATAAATGCTAGAGTGTATGCACACACACAGATATAAATAAAAATAGAATAGATCTTAAAACTAAAAAAAATCAGTGTCTTTCCTTTATACTTCGATTTTGAAGAGAAGCTCTGACTCCCGGCTTGTTCAACAAGTCCAGAACTCTATGGTACTTAAATCTCAGCACCAAGTCTCATCCCTCTCTCCTCCTCCTCCTCTGATCTAGCCTCACTGCTTTACAGCTCCTAAATCATGCCAAACTTTCTCCCACCCAACAAGCAGATTCTGGTGTAAGTCAAGAAGTCTTGTAGACTATTTCAAACTGTTATTTCTCTTCTGATGTGACATCATTGACTTCTTTAACTTTCTGAGTGTCTATTTTCTTTTAGGTTCATACACACACTTTAAACAAAATCTTTATTTTTTCTGATTCTTGTTTGTACATAAAAGACTCCTTGATCTACTTCTTTTTCGTAAAAAAAAAATTGTGTGTGTGTGTGTGTGTGTACACATGATATGATATGTATGTGGAGGTCAGACAACAACATTTGGGAGTTTGTTCTCTCCTCCCAGCATGGAATCTGGGGATCAAACTCAAGTTGTCAGACCTGCAAGGCAGCTGCTTTTTAGCCTCTAAGTCATCTGCCAGCCCTGAACTACCTCTTTCTTGTGTCTTTACTTTTGGAAGTGAGATTTTTTTTTTCGCTTTGAAGAACCCTATAGTCACAGAAGATGCTTGCCCTTATTTCTCTCAAATATGGTGTGTAGTATGGACAGTCTTCATTACATTCACATGCAAAGGATGTTCTTGCACTAGGAGACATTTTGGACCAATTTTAAAGCTATAACAGGGCTTTTTACTGCAAATGGAATGCAACATAATGGTCTTTTGTGATAAAAATATCTTCCTTGGAATGACTTTTTTAATGTACAATTTACTTTGCCTCAAGGTTACGACTAGGATCACACAGCTATGGAGCGTCTCTGGGAGTCGAGGGCTGCTGTCTGGAGCTCAGCTCCTCAGTCCCCTGGACACCTGTGTGCAAACCATGAAGCATGACTACCAAGTCTGTGTTTTCTCAGACCTCCTGGACAGTACCGTATGTTTTCGGATTTTTCTTAGAGTCTGGATTTTGAACATGCTTGCTCCATCACTAGTGCTCAGCCACAGGTCCAAAGCCAATGGGGCTAATTCATTCTGGATTCAAACATCCACAACCGTGAGCCAAAAGAACCCCTTTTTTCTTTCTTTCTTTTCTTCTAAAAAAAATAAACTATCTCTGGTACTTTTTACAGTTAAGACAGCTAACACAATACTAGAGAAGTTTCTTTTTCATTGGGATAGCTAAATTCAGAAGTGATGAATCTGGACAGTGGTGTGGAGATATCTGATGGTTGCTTTTCAAGAGAATGCATATATCTATATTCACCCATTTTTTTTTTTTTTTTTGGTTTTTCGAGACAGGGTTTTTCTGTGTAGCTTTGAGCCTTTCCTGGATCTCGCTCTGTAGACCAGGCTGGCCTCGAACTCACAAAGATCTGCCTAGCTCTGCCTCCCGAGTGCTGGGATTAAAGGCGTGTGCCACCACCACCTGGCCGTATATTTTTAAATTTATTGTAAATTCTGCAAACTTGTACAACCACTTTGGAAATCAATATGGTGCTTTCTTAGAAAATTGGGAATCAGTCTCCCTCAAGACCCAGCTATACCACTCTTGGGCATATACCCAAGGAATGCTCAATCATACCACAAGGACACATGCTCAACTATGTTCATAGCAGCATTATTTGTAATAGCCAGAATCTGGAAACAACTTAGATGCCCCTCAACTGAAGAATGGATAAATAAAATGTGGTACATATACACAATGGAGTACTACTCAGCAGAGAAAAACAATGACATCATGAGGTTTGCAGGCAAATGGATGGAATTAGAAAAAAATCATCCTGAGTGAGGTAACCCAGACTCAGAAAGACAAACATGGTATGTACTCACTCATAAGTGGATACTAGATGTAAAGCAAAGGATAACCAGACTGCAACTCACAACTCCAGGGAGGCTACCTAGTAAAAAGGACCCTGAGAAAGACACAGGGATCGCCCAATGACAGAGAAATGGATGAGATCTACATGAGCAAACTGGATGTGAGGGGGGTAATGGAGGGCAAGGGTCGGGGGGAAAGAGAGCTTAGGGGAGCAGGAGGTCCAGCTGGATCAGGAACAGAGAGGGAGAACAAGGAAAGAGACACCATGATAAATGAAGATCCCATGGGAATAGGAAGAAGCAGAATGCTAGAGAGGTTCCCAGGAATCCATAAAGATACCTCCACAATAGGCTACTGACAATGGTCGAGAGAAAACCCGAGCTGACCTACTCTGGTGGTCAGATGACCAAACACCCTGGCTGTCATGATAGAACTCTCACCCAGTGACTGATGGAAGCAGATGCAGAGATCCACGGCCAAGCCTCAGGTGGAGCTCCAGGAGTCTAATCGTCGAGAGAGAGATGAGGGATTATATGAGCAAGAGATATTGAGACCATGATTGGATAAAGCACAGGGACAAATAGCCAAACTAGTGGAAACACATGAACTATGAACCAATAGCTAAGGAGCCCCCATGGAACTGGATTAGGCCCTCTGGATAAGTGAGACAGTTGATTAGCTTGAATTATTTAGGAGGTCCCCAGGCAGTGGGACTGGGACCTGTCCTTAGTGCATGAGCTGGCTTTTTGGAACCTAGGGCCTATGATGAGACATTTTGCTCAGCCTGGGTGTAGGGAGGAGGGGACTGGACCTGTCTCAATTGAATCTACCAGGCTGAGCTGAATCCCCAGGGGAGACCTTGCCTTGGAGGAGGTGGGAATGGGGGGTGGATTTGGGGGGAAGGCTGGGGGGTGGGAGGAGGGAGGACAGGGGAATCTGTGGCTGATATGTAAAATTAAATTAATTATAAAATATAAAAGTAAATTCTGATTAAAATACTCCTAGCACATAACTTTCAAGTAATATATAAAATATTCAATACTTCTTCACATTTTATCTATCCCTGTGATTCTCATAGGGTATTTTATTGACATTTTTGAACTTTAAAGTCTGTAGTCAATCACTGGAAATAGCTGGTGATTGTTGTAGAATATTAATTGAAGATGTGTAACATTCATTTATGCTGTGGAATATTTGTTTAATGTTGCAAAGATATGTTGCATTTGTTTAACTCTGTGAAGTTGTGTTACTTTGCCTGTCTAAAACACCTGATTGGTCTAATAAAGAGCTAAACATTCAATAGGTAGGCAGGAGAAAGGATAGGCTGGGTGGGCACACAGAGAGAATAAATAGGAGAAAAATCTGGGAAGAAAAGATCGGGGGCCAAGAAAAAGGAGAAGGAGAGGAGGACATCAGGGGCCTGCTACTCAGCTACACAGCCAGCATTTGAGTAAGAAGTAAAGAAAGGAATATAGAATAGAGAATGATAAAAGCCCAGAGGCAAAAGGTAGACAGGATGATTTAAGAAAAGCTGGCTAGAAACAAGCCAAGTTGAGGCCAGGCATTCATAAATAAGAATAAGTCTCTATGTATTTATTTGGGAGCTGGGTGGCAGGCTCCCCAAAGAGTAAAGAATAAAACAACCAATTACAGATGACAGCAATTCCAACATAAATTCTGGTTGACATTTTCATTTAGCTCAATTTTAACAATAAGGCAATAGTGAGGTATGCTAGAAATTAGCACTGGCAGGGGCAGCTTGCTGGAGAAAGGTTTTGAATACCAGAACATTTTGTTTAAAAAATTTACTTAGAATGTTGCATGACTTGAAAGTTTTGCTCACCAAAAAGTTGTTTTTGGGCTTTTCCTATTTTTCTTGGAGGCCCAGGTCTTACAGAGTCACCTGGAGCCTAGGAATTTTTCTTTTTGTTTGTTTTACATGTAGCCCAGGCTGGCCTCAAACTCATCATCTTCCTGCCCGACCTCCTGGGCACTGGAAGTACAGGCGTGCCCCACCACCATCCATTCTCTTTACCTTTCCCTCTGCTCCAATTCGTCTTCTTTCCCTTAGCAAGAGGATTCATTTTTCCTACATGGAACAGATATGTGAGATAGCCAGTTTTCACTACGTTATTTCCCCAATTCTTTTCATTGACAATGTAGGGCAGTAATTAAGTAAAACGCCTAGGAATTTGGGCTCTGAAAACAAAATATGTAGGCATATAATCCAGGCTATGTCACATGCCAGCATTGTGACCTTCTGTCAATTACTTAATTAGTCTGTGCCTCAGTTTCCTTTTTTGTTCAATGGAGATAATTTAAATGCATACTGTGGTGTCCAATGAATAATCAACATTTGTTGAATTAAATTTAATTTCACTTTATTGTGATAAAATGAGAAAATGCATGAAAAATACTCAGAATAATCTCTAATGCATGATAAGAATATACCTACCCTTAAAATTTTTTTGGGGGGGGAGTTTTTCTTTTTTCTTTCTTTCTTTTAATTTTATGTGCACATTTGTCTGTGTGAGGGTGTCAGATCCTCTGGAACTGGAGTTACAGACAGTGGTGAGCTGCCATGTGGGTGCTGGGAATTGAACCTGGGTCATCTGGAAGAACAGCCAGTGCTCTTAACTGCTGAGCCATCTCTCCAGCCCCAGTGCATAGCCTTTTAATTACTACTTTCCTTACTGCATTTTTTGATTGTGAGTCTAGCCTTTAATGGCTAAACCATCTCTCTAGCCCTGATGAACACTTTCTTATTGTGTTTCTGTTCCCTCAATTCCAGGTTTCAAACTCCAAAGCTGGGAAGAGATGAGCTGTGGTGAGGAGTGGTATGCAGAAAATGATGCTCACAGGGAACAGTAAATAAGGAAGGAGTACAGCTGATGTTTCAAAAACATCAATTCTTCACCTGCAAGGGTATGTTATTGAGTTGTTCCAACCATGGACTTTTCTCTCCCCAGGGCATCTTGTATCTCGCTTATGCACTGATTTCTTTTAGAATGCCATGCCACTTCTTTACCCAAAGCATGTCTTTCATTGCCTGCAGAATAGAGCCTAGACCTCGGAAGTGAGCCTGATGAGGTCCCTGTCTTTCTCTTTCTCATTTTATTTTGTTAAGTTCTAATTGTCACCCACCACAAACTTTCCGGTCATTATGGCTTGCCCTTTTCCCTAGTTCTTTCAGCTTGTAAATCTCCTGTCTTCTTCCTGGTGAACACCCATGAAGGTATGAATGGAGGCTGAAATCCAGCCCACACTTTCTTGTTCTCTGGTGCATCCTGACTTGGTCGCTCTTGCCTACAGAAACCTCTTTTCCATGGAGGCAGTGGCATTTCTGGGGAGGATTGCAAGGTTTCAAACGTCTCTCCTCATCAACAGGGAAGGAACTGTGGCAATAGAAAAAATACAGGGTAGCTGCAAGAGAAGACAGAGAAAGGGCTTTTTGCCAAGTCTTGGATAGTACAAAGAGACCTCTTGGGAGACATCTAGCCTGTGAGCTGAAGGACAATGGCAGGTAATATAGGAAAGTGGTGGGGTAAAAAGCATATGCTAAGCATAAGAAAGAAAATGGAGGGTAGAAGGAAGAACAGAACATGGATTTCGAATGGATGCTTAAGAGCTGAGAATTGACAGATAAATAATCAGGAGTCAGGATGAGAAATGACTTGTAAAGGGTTTTAGATTGTCACCGGACATCCAAGAGAATCTTAGGTGTGTCTAAGCAGTGGGGTGACATATGCAGATCTGTGCTCCATGAATGCATGAAGGAGACATGTGCAGGATGAAGAATAAGTAGAACAGGATCTTGGATCTGTAGTGGAGGATGGTGTGAAGCAGGAAGACCATGAAGAAGGCTGCTGCAAGAGTCCAAATGAAAGATGATGGGTCCGGTTCGAGCAGTGCCAACAGAGCAGGTGAGGAGTGGGTATGGTCCAGAGAGCTTTAGGACTGTGGGGAGGCACTGCAGTCACTGAGTTGGATTACAGGGTGGGTGGAGGTGTCATCCCCCATTCCTGGGATGGCACTACTAGCAAGAGCATTTAGATGGGCTGTGGGATGATGCATTTTTGGGGTACGTTGAGTTGGGGATCTCCGTGGAATTGCTGTATGGAGAAAGCCAGCTAGTGCATAGAGGTGATGGGAGCGCTGCACTGTAGGCAAGGGATCAGTGCTTGAGGATTTAGAAACTTGTAAATTTCTGAATGTGGGAGTCTCTCATTTCAGGGTAAGGAAGAGCAATCGCTGTTAGGTAGCATACTGACATGTATCCAGCAAACCTTGCCAATAGTCACAGCAAGCAGGTGAAGAGGGAGCACAGAACTCCAACTGACAGGTCAGATCTGTTTGTTCTGGCCAATAAATTTATGGAAAATTTGTGAGAAACACTGAGGGGTAGCAAACAGATTTCTCTATTTTGGAAGCCTGGGTGTAAGATTGTCCTCTTGTACTATTCTAATATGAACGATATTGGTTAGTTTTCATGTGCTTTTATACTCACCGAAAGAGGACTCTGGGACCCTGTTGAGCCTCCTTGTCTTAGACTCAAGCATGTTTATCTGAAGTGTCTTCCTAGACTCTTTGTCTTGGGCTGGTTGGCCCCTTGACCCTGTAACGGGCAGGAGGAAAAAAAACAAACAGCTAAGAATATTAAAAACATTGTGCCCTTGAGAACAGCTAGAAGTTAAATATTTCCAATACAGGCTACAGTTGCTTATCCTATGGTATAAAAATGCCTGTCGTGGGAATGAGAAGGTGCAAGTTCATCCACGGAGAAGACCCTTTGCCCCCAAACCTTGCTACTCATTAATTTACTTTTATTTGCTCTGTCAATCACGCTACGCTAGTAATTTCTGCTAGATATTGCAGGTACCCACTTTGGTGATGTTATCCATCTGATACTCGTTATTTATTTAATATCATTCTCCAGGCAAACAATTATCTTATGTAAATATTATGTTAACCAAATGAGGTAGACATTATTGCTATTCCCAGTTTACGGGTAAGAAGATTCTGATACAGGAAGGTTCAATAAAATGCTAGAGCCATACAACATTCAATTGTATGGCTGGTCTGATTAATTTAGGAGAATACTTCCAGAGGGAAGGAGGGGTAACAGAGTCACATACCACAGGCAAGTAAAGTAAAATAAGAATGGAAATCTCCTCACAGGGTTTGACAAATGAAAAAAGTGAAACAAAACACCACTAACCTTGGAGTGGTGATATTTCAGGGATTGCAGCAGTAGAGGCTAGTGTATGGGTGGGTTAAGGAATGACCAGGAGGCAGAAAATGGAGTGCCTTTCGCTGCCTGCTCCTCTGAGGTTGACCAACAAGGTATAGGAGAAAGAGAAAGCTAGGGACACAGTGAGCCAAGAAAACAAAACCACAGTCAGTGTTGGAGAGGGCTGAGGGATAGTCAGTAAAGTGGTATTTTTCCAGAGGATGAGAGAACACCATCCAGAAGTGTGTTCGAGGGCTGGGGACCGAAGCTGTTTCCCAGCCACACAGGAGAAGGGAAGGGAGGAGAGAACAAAGGCAAGCGTCTAAGAACTGACAGTGTGACACCTTCTCAGTGAGTCACATTCTGCGACAGGGAGGTGGGAGAGTGGCAACATCAGCGTGAAGGGCTGGGAGAACTTTGGTGTGAAGATCGAGGAGAAGGCTTGAGAAAGCCCCTGCAGAGCGCGGAAGAGGGTGCGACCTAAGGAGAAGCAGGTGGATGGGGCTCAACTGAAAGGGTTGACTTTGGAAGCCTTGCGCTTGCAGTGCAAGAGTCCGGGCGGACACATGTTCTCTCTTGAGGTGCTCAGCAGCTATGAGGATAGGAAGACTCATCTTCAAGTCTTTGTTCAGCAGGTGAAGACAAAGACCAAACCCTTAGGAGCTGAAGAAGATCTTGACACATTGTTTGAATCCCAGGGGTCTTCGTAGATTGAAACATTGCTGTCGACCTGGGTTCTCAAACCTGATGGACATTGCACTCACCTAGGTAATGTTACCAAGGAATTTATGTCTGGGTCTCATCATCAGGAATTATGACTTACCTGGTCTGTGCCATGGCCTCAACTTTGGGATATTTTTATGAGCCCCTCAGGTGATCATTAAATGTAGACAAGGTTGAAAATGGTTGTTCCCCTGTTTTTTTTTTTTTATTCCTAAAGCAAATTCAGAATGTATGCCAGCAGGAGACAGCCACAAACTGTAGGATCCTAGCGACTTATTTATTTCATGCTTATATAATGCTCCTGGGTATAGGCGCTGCTCCTGGGCAGATGTTGTATTTATTGGAATCTTCAGTCATGGAGGCACTAGAAGAGGATCATGGGAAATGGGTTCCTGGCTCTTATTTGCTCTTACCTGGAAGTAATAGTCATCACCACCTCCATTATATTTCAGTGATCAGCTCTATTTGCAGGAACACACCCATGTCAAGGAGGAAGAGAAGGCAAGCCATTGTCTACGAACCCCAGAGATGACCACCACCTAGAGCGCCTAATGCCAATGAGGACGGGAGGCTTATGCATTTATTCTCATACACAGTGTTTCTTACCTGTTCATCTACACTAGGTTAGTTGAGGTGGGGAGACCCTCCAAGATATGGGGAGCACCATTTCATGGGCTGCGGTCCAAGACAGTGTAAAAAGGAGACAGCAAGTTGAATACAAACTCTCTGCCTCTCGACTGTGGTGTGAATGCAATGCGACCAGCTCCCTCCAGCTCCTGATGCCCTGGCTTTCCTTCATGATGGACTGCATCCTCAGACTGTGAGCCAAAACAAGCTCCTCCCTTCAGCTGTCTTTGTCAGGGTATTCTATCACAACAGTGAGGAAAATCAGTTATACCCCTGCCATGTGTTTGAACGGCTATCAAATAAGAACACAATTTATCTTCACAAAATCCTACTAAATAGGTCTTTTTATGCTCATTTTTTTTTTAGAAGAGGAAATCATTCTAGGGCATGTAAGCAGCAAAAGGAAGTCTGATTTCTGAGCAGTCTGGGTGTGGGGTCTAAGCAATGAGCCTTTGTACTATATCACTTGTCTACTTTGCACTTCACAAATAGATTCTGTGCTTGTGTAGTTGGGTTGGTGCGGAGGGAGAGGTCTGAGGTCTAAATGTAAGTGTGGGTCATGGTGCATGCAAGAGAATAGAGCAATGTTTGTATCGTTCCTTGTTCGTGGTCTAGAAAGAGCATGGCGTGAGACTTGGGGTGGGAGAGAATTGAAAAGATGGATGCCGCTGCTTAAGGAGGCCAAGCCTAGAGGATGGCATGGAGAGGTCCTTAGGATCCCTTCCTCTTTTCTTTCCTAGCCTCCCACCCAAGCCTCTCTCTCACTCAGCACCTGCAGATTGCACAGTGGATTTATGTCGGCATAGCTCAGAAGACAGCCAAAGTGGAACGAAGAATCATTTCTGTAGGGAATGGTATTTGGGCCATTTGTACACAGGGGTTCGCACCTTGCCATTTCTAGAAAATTGAAACATAATTACAGACATTGTTACATGTGCCACATTTTAAAAAAAAGCTTCAAAGGGGGAATTCTTTATGAAAGAATTCTTTAGGGGACCAGGAGTGATTACAAATCATCACTACTCAATAAATTAATTTCTAAGGCTTTCCTTTTACATGGTTTCCTATTAAATGGGAGCACATCTGCAGTTTACCCAGGTCATTCTGCTGATACTGGAGGCAGCAGACCCTGCTAGAGATTGGAACTCTTGGTCCTCACAGACAACACCTTTCTATTTACCATACCTCAAGACACAGAGGAAAAATCACAAGTGGTTCTGTTCTGAAATAGAATTTTGGTCATAAAATAAACAAATAATAATAATAAAAAGCCCATGACATTAAAGCTTTTAAATCCTGGCTCTCTCACCTGTTCAGTCCTGTGCTTTGGTCACAACATATGGACTCTGTCTGTAAAACCCTTTGAAAACGCTGTCTTGGCACCTTGCTGCAATCTGCCAGCGCACTCCTTAGGGCCAGGCAGTCCATATGCTGCTGCTGCTGCTGCTGCTGCTGTTGCTGCTGCTCTGCTTCCTTCCACTGTGATTTGATTGGGAGCTGTTGGAAGTTGTTGCTAGGCGTTCCTCTTTCCCCTCACTGTGAGAATGATGGCCATAAAGGTGGCTGGATGCTGTTGACCGTTGCCACAGGCATCCAAGATCAGGTTATTACTGACAAGGAGCCCTGGCTATGGGTCAGGAGTCCCTATTATAGTTTCTCTGCCAAGTGCTCGAAAGTACTGTGTCCTCTTGAGTGAGGCACTTCATCTGTCTAGGTATCAGGTTTTTTTTTGCCTGAATGAAAATTTAAACCGGAAGATTAAGAAAAGTGTGTAACCGAATGTTTTGGCATTGTGTAATGCCCAGCTGTTTTTGCTCCATACAGTAAGATAACCCAATTAAGGATAAAGAAGAAAAGAAGCATGCCATTTTAATTAAATCCGTGGATGGAAATAAATGGGGACATTCTACAGTGATTGTGTGACTGCATCTTAATGGAGTCCAAAAGAGTTTCCTCTTTGGGAAGTGTGAGCTAATACACCTACAGAGAAATGATTAGGAACAGATATTTATATTAGATGGGAAATGCTGGGAAGCTAAGACTTTAAATCAATACCCAGAGGCAAGATGTGGGCAGCTGAAGATGTGCAAGAGAACATATAGGCTGGAAATATTCCCTGTCAATGTTGATGATAGAATTACCATATCATGATAGGAGTCAAGGACAGAAACCTAGGCAAAAGATGTGTACATATTTTCAAACATTAGACCTGTATATTCACCATCCCAGGAATGGCTGAGTAATCTGGAATCTTTTGAGCATGGGTCTGGGCGGGGGGCAGTGAAGTGTGTGTTTAAGATTGGGGTGGCAGTGATGGGTCTGGGTGTCAAGTCCTCCTTCTTATTTCTGTATCCCAATCCCATGTATACCCTGGCAGCTGCAGTGAGGGAGCTGTACTTCTAGGATACATTACAGCCTCCAGCCTGTGGCAAGCTAAGCGCTTAGATTCAATCTGTGCTGGAGTCCCTTGTTATTTAACTAAGGACACCCCAATGTATTGAAGGAACAATTTGTCTATGGGGGGAAAAACTTGCCTCCTCAGCACGGCACTGCTTCAGATAGAAAGCTAGAATAGACAAGTGTTATTCCACAATGTCTCGACTTGATTTTTTACCCCCCAGAAGGAATCTCTGCAGAACTAACGTTTTTGCTTCCTGTCCACCTTTTAGGTTTGCTCAGCTGACCAAGGTCTGGGTGGACAGTGGAAATTTCAGAGGAGAGAAAATTACCGTAGGGTTAAATCTGGATCCTAGTTTACATTTAACTCTCTGCTATAGATGGACACATAAAGTAGGGGGAGAAGGAAGAGAGGGAGAGAAGGAGAGAGAGTTCCCGTTTTCAGTCAGGGAGTTAGTAGAGGCTACCCCATTCTCAGTCACAGCCTGTCCTCTGTTTTAGGAATCTTGGCGGGTGATTATTTCTACAAAAATTACCTTGCCCCTGGCACAGCCTGACCCAGGAAAACAACATACACTCATTCAACTAACCTTTACCCTTTGCGCCCTGCCAGGGAGCCCTTTCTCTCCCTGGTGGGTTCTTGTCTCCACAGGCCCAGGTGGAGCCTCCTGAAAGGAAGTTTTGGCTTTGCCCTTCTTAGTTTGTGGCTTGTGTATCATATTTAGCCCAGGGGGCTTGTTAGCAAAAGACGGTAAAACTCCATCCTCAGCGTTCTTTGCATACTCATTTAGGGATAAGGCTCCCAAATTTGCATGTCAAGAAGTTCTTAGTGCACGTTGGTGCTGCAGTCTGGAGGCCAAAACAATCAATGCCTTAGATAAAAGAATGTCCTGCTGCAGCTTGGGCTCCCCTCTCTTTCCATGTCTTCCCGCCCCATTCTTACTTGAGCAGTTTTCCCTTCTGTGTGGCTGTCCCTTGCTTTTGGACTGCTTCTAATGGTCCCACTCCAGTCCGGGTCCTGAACGTACAGAGGGCGGCCTCTCCCCAGCCTTGCGCAGCAGCTTTCTTCTCAGGGCTTGTACCACTTTTCCACGCAAACGCTGCCGATTGCTACCGCTCTTGTCTGAATTATTCACTCTTTCCTAGGACTCCTAACATCAAGCGAACTCTTTTCTGAAAGTTTGGGTAGGGGGATCCAGCTCCCTGTTCTCCTCCTGCATTCAGCAACCCTGGGGAAGCTCCCCAGACTCCGCGTGTAGGCGCCCCCGCGCGCCAAATTCAGCCTGGGGCTCAGGGCCATTCGGGATGCCAGCTCTGCGCTCATACTCCATCTGGCTCCTGCTCCAGATAGTGGGGTTTCTCAGGGTGTCGAAAGCTCCCGTGTTGAGGCTTCAGGCGCCAGAGTCCGGAGGGGGGCGGTAGCAGCGTCAGGTGGCTGCTCTGCGTCCCTGAGCGCCACAGAGTCACTTCCTACTCGGCGCACAGCCTGGGCTGGAGCAGGAGCCCTCCTGCACCTCGGCTCCAGGACCGGCGTCCGCCGGAGTTGCGGGGGCTTGGGACAGCGGCGGGAGAAGCTAAGATGTGACCCCCTCCCCCCCATTGCCATTGCCCTCTCGGTTGCCTGTTTCTGCAAACAACAGCCTGCACTGGCCAGCGAGCACTTGCCTGGATCTTCGTGGAGAAAGGACCAGCCACTGGGCGCTCGCAAAGCCAGGCAGAAGTTGGGCTGCCCTGGGCAGCTGTGAAACAGCTGCGTGAGATGGGTGGGCTAGGAGACTGAGGGAGCAGAACTAAGGAAGAGGGTCTTGCCCTGGGCTAGGGGTGGGGAGAGGGAAGTCGAGTTGCTTCTCGCTCTCTCCCAGATCCCGGAGGAGTCGGCGTAGAGAGAGAAATGCTGAGCCCGCGTCCGGGCTCCTGCCTCCGCGGCAGCATCTTCAGTAGCAGCCTCAGCCTCAGCACCGGCGGGACAGCGACAGCGGGGGCGGCGCAGGCGCACTGTGCCCGGCGGAGCCTGCAGTTCCCCAGCCCCGTGTGCGGCACCGCCACAGTCTGGGCAGCGGCGGCCGGGGGAGCGCTACTACCATGAACTGCCTGGTCCTCCTCCCCAGAGCTGCTCATCCGGGTCGGGCTGGAGACACAGTCAGGGGACCCCGCCGCCGCCGCTCCCCCTTTTCTTTCGTCTCCATCTCCACCACCTTTTCCTCTTCTTCTTCTTCCACCTTTTCTTCCTGCTTCCCCCCCTCCCCCGCCGCGGATCCTGGCCGCTGCTCTCCAGACCCAGGATGCCGGGGGGCAAGAGAGGGCTGGTGGCGCCGCAGAACACATTTTTGGAGAACATCGTCAGGCGCTCGAGTGGTAAGGAGAGTTGCAGTTCAGAACAATCCCCACCTCCATCCCGACCACGGCGCCCCCATCCCGCCCATCCCATCCCAGTGGTACCTGGTGGCTTAGGGTGGGTGGGGGCCAGGAAGGAGGTGGTGGAGGGACGTAAGTTGCATCTGCTTCCTAAGAGCTGTGCCCCCTCCCACCTGTCCAGACCTCAGAGTAGGAGCTAGGGAAGGGGGTGGGAGAAGCAGAGGTTCGTTAGAAAAGGTTTGAATTTGCACTTTGATGATGAATCTTTCCTTGTCCCATCGCTTCCCAAACAAGCTTCAAGCGCTGACTAAATTCATAGAGCCAGTTTTTGGAGGAAGCTTTCTTTTTAAGTTGGGAACGACTGGGAAACTGGCTACTTCATCATATTTAAGTCCCTGGGATAGCTTTTGGACCCACTGTGCACATACGAAAGTGTTCTGCGTTAGGGCGAGCCATCTGAGTTGAACCTAAAAAAGTCAGTGCTTGGACCATGGGAAGGCAGTTACTAGAATCAAATGTGTGTTTAAAGTTTCATGTTTTTATTTTCTTCATTTTGTATTGGTTAATAGGCTACATTTCACCTATTTCACTCGAGCAGAAGGGTAGAAGCAAAGCCACGGTTTCTGTGTTTTTAATGCACTTGGGGAAATGATTTGAACAACATCATTCTACCTTGCTTCTGCACAGCAAGGCTGTCCTGTCTCCCGAGTGTCTTTAAAATATCACCAGTTTATGCTTGGTCTTCTATCTTCTGGATTGGAATGACTACATGTTTCACATTTAAGTTCATACAATTTTTATCTTCTGGGATTATACATCTTCTAGTTGGGTTTTTAAAAAAAACTCTTTTACGTAATTTTAAACTCCACAAGCAAACTGTGTGGACTATCACTTAAGGGTTTCTCTTCAAAATCTCTTTGTGGAGAACTCTGAGAAAGAGAATTCTGCTCTTGGAGCTGAGTAGGAAAGCAGTGGGAAGGCTCTGTGTGGCTCCTGACTCCTTGTTCTGTCAATCACTCATGGAAATTTATGTGTGTGTGTGTGTGTGTGTGTGTGTGTGTGTGTGTGTGTGTGTGTGCGGGGGCTTACACAGCAGACACGATGTGGGTCTTTTGTGTGAAAATGTGGTTAAATGCTTAGCTGTGGCACACACAAATGATAACCAATAACTAGACACAGAGGTGCCGACTCTGAGGTGGTAGCTTAGGCAGCACCACTGTTTAGATTGGCATCTCTTTGAAAACCAGGCTTGCAAATGCATTCTTGGAATTGGAGTAACCTAGGGAGTTTTCTTTAAATGTCCATCTTGGAGTTTGGTTTGGAGCTTTGTGACTCTTTCTTCCACTTGAGGTCAATGTGTGATTCTGTACAAGTGTAGGGCAGCAGAGGCACATTGGGATTAAAAAGAAAAATAGCTTATAGTGTTGCACGGTCACTTTAATCCTTGCAATATTTTTAGCCATCCCAGTGTGAGGTTCATGCGCACTTTGCACTTTGTTTTTATGACAATATAAATTAAAATATAAGTTCGTAATGGCACAGAATATCCATTGCCTTCTTTTATGAATATCTCACACAGACCTAGAATACAGGGAGCATTGCTGTTTAAGCAATCCAGTTGCTAGGGGGCCTTCAAAGGTTATTGGAATCAACTATTTACAGAGACATGGTGATTTTCTTTCTGATTTCTTTTCTTTAGTTGTTTCTACTTCATACTGTTTGCCTTTTGAGAAGAGTTTTCAGGGAAGGTCTTAGAAGACCAAACCCGTGGGCTCTCTGCTGCTCTCCAAGGTGAAGAGAAAGACCACGAGAAGCCCTGGATCGAAGCTTACCATGGTAGCATTGTTAATGGAACAACCTTTTCAGGTTGGAACCGTGGGAAGGGTGTAGAATATGTTTCCGTCAGATGTGGCTTGAAATGGAGACTTACATCGTGTGGCTCGGGCCTGTCTACTCCTGTCACCTCCATTTTCTATCTACCAGCTAACATATGAACAGTTTATCTGTTTTACACTTTGGAATTAGAATGGCTTCCTGTCTTAGTGCTTCTTATTTCACTGGCTAACACCAAGCTTGTGTGAAATTGGCCTGTTCCGACATTGAAGAGCTCCACCTTTCATTGTCTATGGCTAACTTTGAGGAGTAGTTAAGGCACAAAAGCTTGGGATTTTGCTGGGAATGTGTTAGATATTTGGGAACGATTCATGTCTGTATGCAGTAAGCACCGAAAACCCTCAGCAAGTATCTGAACTGGAAACCGCCAGATGTGGTTGGTCTACCCATCCGTGTGGGAGGGCCCTCCAGTTGTCATTTCGACCTGATTTGGCAGAGAAATTGAAAAATTCATCCTAAGAGATGGTTTAATTAAGAGTAACAGATAAAACTCCCTCTAGGAAGGATGCTCATAGATGGATCAGGATTGTCACACTGAAGATTTAATCATTCACCAACTTAATAACATTGGGAATGAACTGCTGGCAAGGCTTTAGTGGGGAACAGAAGTCAGGGGGCCGGTATTCCCAGTCCACTGAAGAACTGAACAGCCAAAGACTGATGTTTTATATTGACTAGCTTTCCTTTCTCATACAATATCATTCTCTTTTGAAAGCAGATCTTGTACTGAAAGTCAGATAAACGTGTGTAGAAAGAGGCGGAGATGACAGGGAAGCCCACAGACAAAGCAAGTGGACAGACAGCCACCCAGATATAAAGACAGACACAAGGGAGGCAAAAACTGAATAATTCACAAAGACTGACAGAGCGAGAGAGACAACCAAAAACAGGTCCGGACAGAGAAAGAAACACACACAGACACTCAGACACACAGATACACATACAGGAAAGGAAGAGGAAGAGAGAGAGGTCAGGAAAGAGAGGAAGAGATAGAGGTACATAGGGAGAGAGAGAGAGAGAGAGAGAGAGGAGAGAGAGAGAGAGAGAGAGAGAGAGAGAGATACATAGGCAGAGAGAGAGACAGAGAGAGAGACAGAGAGAGGCAGAGATACACAGAGACAGAGAGAGACAGAGAGACAGAGAGAGATAGAGACAGAGACCGAGAGAAGAATGAGAATCAAACATTTGTGTTTGTCCATGGGTAGCTGGTGAATTGAGAGCTCAGGAAGTTAGGAATCTATCTATCAGACAACTTTCTGGTAATACAGAGCAAATGAGCTAGAGGGATGGCATATCGGCACACAGTTCTTGAAGCTGAGGATTTTATAATCAAACTCTGAAGTCCTCAGCTGCAGTTTCGAGGGGAAAATGCTACCTTCCATGCCCTGAGTGGCCACACAGGCTCTCCGCTGCTGTTTTCCTCTCTGTTTCTTTTTCTCCCCCTCCTTATCTAGTTGAGTGTTTAAGCCAGAATTGCAGGTTGTTACTGGTGACTGTGTCTATACAATAAAACAACCCGAGTCATTGTGTAGGATGGATACATTTTATAGCCAACTTTAAAATAGGAGAAGCAAGGAATACTCCCCGTTAGTTTTAAGATTAAAGACTTGATAAAATAAATAAAAGGAATATGATAATTCTTAACTTGTAAACACTGAAAGCATATTATTTTCCCCAGAATTTGTAAAGGTCAAAAGTATAAAGACAACAGGAGCATTTAGATAGGCATTAAAAATAGATTTTTGATTTTGATTGACATGTTTATAGGCTGTGGTGTAGCATTTCAATAATTGGGTACAATGTGTAATGATCAGATCAAGGAAAATAATGCATCTACCTCTTTGAACATTTACCATCATTTTGCCTTAGAAATAGAATAGTCCTACTGGCTGGTTTGAAATATCAGATTGTCCACCATAGTGAAGTTTAAGTGTATATTTGGCTATTTGGATCAAAATGAGTTATCAACAAGGGAGGGCTTGAGAACTGTGGGAAAGTTCATTACGCTGGAACAGCCCTGCTGTGGAAGCCACCTTTCCTGAGGAACCATGGACCAAATCTGTGTTTGGCATCATCAGGCCCTCCTCTCTCTTTACATGGTCAGTGCTCGTGTAAGCTATTGGTTAGTGTAAACTAGACTGTATAGAGATGTAAGCTTACATGTAGAATTAAATTCCCGAGAGACTTTTAGGTGGAATATTAGACAAAAACATTGTATTCAAGTCCTCAATGTGCTGATCCCTGCAGGCGGTGTATTTCACCCAGGTGCTCTCTCTCTGAATCCCTAAGGAACATCCAGCAATGACTAGTTTGGGTAACAGTAAATTAGATTGCCATTTTTGAAAATTTATAAATTCAAATCAATGTTTTTGATGTGAAGTTATCTATTAATATTAAAGTACTATTAAAAATTGAGGATTTTTCACTTTTATGAAAAACTGGAAGTGTTATTTTTCTCTTCAGAGGAAAAGGACCCAGGAAAGAAGAAAACAGAGAAAAGAGTGTTTTCTGAGCAGCTAGCTCATTTTGAAGAGGTCCTCAGTAGATTCAATTTTCTGTTTTTCTAGAGACAGCAGCCTGGGCAGGCAGTTCATTGTCTCTGCCACCTCTCCCTTGCAGAAAAAAAAAGGATTCCAAAATAATTTTCATGCTGTAATTGATATTTAGAAACCTGGTGGTATTATAAGAAACCCTCAGGCGAGGAAATAGTGATCTGTCTGGTATCAAAACAAAAAGGAAAAAACAGCTTAATTATGACCCAACCTGGAAGGAACAGTGTAAAGCAGACTCTGGTTTCTGCTGGCCATGTCAGAAAGTTGTTGATATTTCTTGAATGGCTTTCTGTAACATCTAAGACACTGTTGAGGAAATATTGATAAAACCACACATTGGTTTTGAAGCATCGGTTTACCCACGTCTTATAATGCGCCACTTTAATGTTGAAAGTATCAAAGAGGTTGAAATTATACTCACCACTTCCTAAATCATAATGACAAATAGCCAAGAGCATCATCTCGCTTCTGAGCCTGCACTGCGTTACATAACGAGCACTGTGGACTGCTAGCTAAGGGCTGCTCCCCCCTACACACTATGGACTCACCAGTGTC